GTGCATCTGTGACTCAGCCCCTCTCCTCCACCCATCTGCTGCCTCCTCTCCTCTGCTGCCTCCAGGCTCTAACTGAACTCTAGTCCCCCAGCTCGGACTTCAGTTAGCTCTCCCTGGAAAGACAAATTGAAACCCCAGAAAAGCCCCAAACTCCCTAAGTTCTTGCGGCCCAGCAGCATTTAAGAGGCTCACACATTCCCAGGGCGCCTGGGTGGCTCAGCTGGTTGGCCTTCTGACTTTGGCTCCAGTCATCATCTCAAGGTTCATGAGTTCAAGCCCCACATGGGGCTTGCTGCTGTCAGTGCAGAACCCGCTTTGGATCCTCTGTCCCTCTCTCTCTCGCTCTCAAAAATAAACAAACATTTTTTAAAAAGTAAAATAATTTAAAAAAGAGAGAGAGAGGCTCACACATTCCCAGTCCACAAGAGGGATCCTCTAAAGGGGGAGGAGAGAGAGAGGTCACAGCTGGCTCTCAACCTGCCATGTGACCTCACATTCCCCACATTTGTAAAAAGGGACACTCCCTGCCTCATGAGATTCTTACCCTTCACTCTGGCTTGCAGGGGAGGGGAAGTGTGGGGGTGGGGGTGGGCAGTGCACACGAGGGTGTGGAGACGGAAGCAGGAGCTCCCGGGACAGGGCCATGGCCCAGTCCTAGACCCAGGGCTGAGGCCACCTGAACGCTTGTCTAACCACAAGCACATATGTGAGAAACACCCCACTACTGATGTTTCACATCTATGGGTTCATTCACATCACAGAATTCGCATGAGAATTAAAATGAGAGTTAGGCAAATTAAGCCAACTACAGAAGCACAGACGCCCACTAACAGAAAAACAACAGCATCACTGCTGAGACACCCCCCCCCCCAGTCCCCAACCCCCCAATGCTGTGTTCAGAACTCCAAGGACTGGCCTGCCCTTGACCCAGGCCTCTGCACTCACTTTCCTAACTCTGAAGAAAGGGACTTTCTTAAGCACATGAGCATGTAAGGCACATGTTGACCTGCCCCACTGGTCGGCATAGCCACTGGCACGGCGGGAGCTTATGAAGTGCAAGCTTGGGGATCCCCTTCAGCTAGGGCAGAAGCCCAGGCACAAAGTGTGGCAGCTTCTGTGGCGGTCTCAACACCGTGGACCCAGAAGGCAGGCCTCTCTTCATACAGTGGCAGCCCCACTTTTGTGTGGCCCACATCCTTCCACGAAGGCACAAGGTCTATGGGGCCATGCAGGGTTGTTTCCGTCCAGCTACTCCGTGTGTTTGAAAGTAACCAGTCCCCTTTTAGAGCCTTCTGTGACTCAGAGGGGGTCATAACCCTCTACCTCCTGGCACACTTCTCCAACACTCCAATGCTCCCAAGCTGATGGGTCATTTAAAATAAACCACTTCCTCATTTTCTTTCTTTTTTTTTTTTTTTAATGTTTTATTTATATCTGAGAGAGAGAGAGACAGAGAGAGAGAGAGAGAGCGCGCGCATGAGCAGGGGAGGGTCAGAGAGAGAGAGGGAGACACAGAATCCGAAACAGGCTCCAGGCTCTGAGCTAGCTGTCAGCACAGAGCCTGACACAGGGCTCGAACCCATGAACCATGAGATCATGACCCGAGCCGAAGTCGGACACTTAACCGACTGAGCCACCCAGGTGCCCCACTACTTCCTCATTTTCTAAGTTGGTGGCTTCTAGGACCCTGGACACAAAAAGCCAACCAAGAATGCGATGGTTGCTTTATGGTTCATCAAGACAATCAAGTTTGCTTTTCATTTGTTTTGTTTTGTTTTTTTAATAGTTTATTGCCAAGTTGGTTTCCATATAACACCCAGCGCTCATCCCCACAAGTGCCCTCCTCCATGCCCATCACCTCCCCCCACCCCCATCAGCCCTCAGTTTGTTCTCAGCATTCAAGAGTCTCTCATGGTTTGCCTCCCTCCCTCTCCCCAACTATTTTTCCCCTTATTCTCCCCCACGGTCCTCCCTTAAGTTCCTCCTAATCCTCCTATACGTAAGTTTGCTTTTCATTTGAAACTTCCCCATTTTTACCACAGCAGGCAGGAAGAGAAGAGGAGGGGAAGGCGGGGAAAGAAAGGACTGAGACCCAGGGACAGGAAACTGGGGAGCCTGCCGGGCATAATCCCACCCAATGGGTCCACGGTGCTGCTCCCTGAAGCGTCCTCCTATCTTGCACGTATCACCAGCTGCCTGCAAGCAGAAGAGTCCACAGAAAGGCCATGGCCATTCTCTCTACTCTTTGCCCGTTCAGGTCTCACCGGTATAGAGGTGCAGAGGTAGATGGGTCGAATTTGGGAGATGAGGCGGGGAGTAGCTAGAAATCCAGGCAATGATTCCCTCAGTTGTGACCCTATGTAAGTTAATTAATCACTCCATGCCTCATTTTTCCCACCTGAAGAATAAAGATGATAACCTAGTCCCTGATTACTGTGATGACCAAGTGACCTAGTATACATACAGTTCTTTGTGATGTATCAGGCTCACAATGAGCTCTGTATGTTATCACCATCTAGCTGTCTTTTTCAAACCTGTCAGTGGCTTTGGGCAAGGACATGTATGGCCTGTGGGGGTGGCCAGCCAGGTGTCCCAGCTAAGGGGCTGCTAATCGGATCCTATGCATAGGAGGCCCAGCAGGATGGGTAGCTGGCCTCAGGGAGCATCCAGGCCGGCACTACGTCCCAAAGCCCCAGACTGGCCAGAGGCGCAGCCACAGAAAGGATGTCCAATGACCACAGCTCTAGAGTCCACAGCCAGCATCCTGGGTACTACCACCAAGAAACACACAGTCCTTGATCAGGATGGCACTAGAGAAAACGAGAACAGCTCGAATGTCATTAACTGCCCTTCTGCAAGCCAAGACTCCTGCCCCGGAAGACTCCATCCTCCAGGGTCTTGCTCTCCCCCATGTCCTCAGCACTCCTGACAGGCCATTCTCATCTGCAAATGGGCGTCCCTGCAGTTTCTCCAATGAGTCTCCCAGGTTGGCTAACGTTGTGAGCTTTTCTGGCCGAGGCCTCAGAGCAGGGCATGCAATGCACCTTCCACCTAGAGATACCTCTTTCCTACCTAGGCACACCTACCCCACATTCCTGCATTGCCCGGAGTACACTTTCCGGTCTTACCCAGCTAGCAAGCTCCTATTCATTCTTCAGAGCCACTTCCGATGGCCTCACGTCTACAGACAAAGCGAAGAGCAACCCAGTCGAAGCCCTTTGCAGCAAACACTACCAAAGCCTTCATCCTGATGTATGGCACTTGCCAGTCTGCATCTCCATTCCTGAGAGACAGCGCCCTGTCCCTCATGAACCACACTGCTCCCATGCCCAGCACAGCGTGGGCCCCTCAGTGCTCGAGGACGCCCATGAGAAGGCTGACTTTAATCCTCACCAATGAGGTGCTGTACAAGGTCTCCTGCGGGTGCTGACCCTGCACTTCTTCCCTCTGTGGGAAGGGAGTACTCTTCCCTCTGTGGGGGGAGGGACAGAACACACGCATGCTGAGTGGCAATGAAAGGTTTGACATCTATCCTCTTCCCAACAATGCCCTACTAGAGCTCTGCCCAGCTGAACTTTTAAAACCAGAGGAGTCCTTCTCCCACTTTCCTTTTAGCTCCCAAACCAGGTTATCTTCCAGGAACAGTCACTGATGACTCCCAGTGGACTCAAGAGCCCTGGTTCAAGGTCTGCCTCAAGATGGCACAGACCAAAGCCCAGGAGAGCCTTCCCTATCTCAGAGCCTGCCATGCATGCGCCCCAGATGGGTGGAGATGGAATGTGGAAAAACCACATCTTTTGGCAGGAGTACCCTTCTATAGAGACCCGTCCAGCTAAAATGCCATCAAGTGAGGCTTGAGCAGACAGATAAGATTTGCAGGAAGGACAGGCAAGCCTGGCAGTGGAATTAGGCAGTTTCGTGAAAAGGCCAGGGCACTATGTGCTGGGAAACCCCCCTTCCCAGGCCAATCCAATCCCAGAAGGCCTTAGCTATGTTCAAGCCCATCCCCCACCATCACTCTATGATCCCAGCTCCTGCTGCAGATTCTTATTATGGTATGAATGAATAAATAAACCCCCACCATCCCAGCCACTTGGTAGCTGAGGGCTTAGGGGTCTCCCAGGATCCCCTGGGGTCATTAAGTCATTCAACAACTGATGTCTACCACTAGCCGGTATATGCATGTAATTTCTAACAGTTTTAAGACAGGTTCTCTGGCCTCAGGAATCAGCAGGCGTTGGGGAAAGTGCCCTAGACCAGAGTCCAAGGTCTGTGTCTGGATTTGGGTTCCGGATTTGGTGCTGAACAAGTGTGTGACCCGAACCTGTCCCTTCCCGTCGGTTTTCTCATCTTGGAGGTTGGACCCAGCAGCCGCTGGTCTCACTGCAAACCGTCCAGGAACCCGTGGGCGGAAGATGCCTCAAGTCCTACCCACCGACCCCTCCACCGCACCCAGGCCCAGGCCCCACGAGCTTACGGCCAAACCCGAAGACTCGCTTGGAGAGGAGACAATAAAGCCTTAGCCAGCCTACCCCCACCCCCACCCCGCCCCCAGCCCAAGGGGAGGACCGCTCCGAACCCTGGAGAGAATCAGTAAGCCGAGAGCGGGCCCCCTCTTGCTCTCCAGGCTCGCACTGAGCACCACCCCCTTCCTCTGAGGGGAGGGAAGTCCTTCCGGCCGGTGGGGGGGCCGCGAGGACCCAGCGAGGGGCCCAGGCGGTCGAGAGGCGGGGTGAAAGGCTGACCCGACGCCGGGTGCCGAGGGCTGGTAGGCTCTAACCCCGGGATCTCGAGGGCCGCCCGAGACTGGGTCTCGCGGCGAGCTCCAGGCGGGGTGGCACCTGGCGGCCCACGCCTCCCCTCGCGTCCTACGGCTCCTACCCTCGGGCGCAGGCGGTCCGGGGCTGTGCCCGGGAGGGTCGGACCGGTGGCGAGCCCCGAGCCCCGCACCCGGCAGGCACTCGGCGCAGACGGCCCCGCGGGGTCGGGGGGCTACTCACCCACCCGGCAGCCGCGGCAGGAGGCCGAGAGACGGGCGGCGGGGACCAGGGGGTCCGAGACCAGGCGAGGGAGGCTGAAGTAAAGTCCTGGAGGCGTGCGGAGTACGCAGCCGCCGTTCGCCCACTTCCTTTATTTCCCGCCGGCAAGGCCCGGGGCCTCCCCAGCCCGCCCGACACGGCCGGCCCCGCCCCCGGCCCCGCCCCCGGCCCCGCCTCCAGCCGCCCGCTACCGGGAAGCCCAGAGGCGGGGTGCGGGAGCCGCGCGCAGGAAGCCAAGGGGGCTCCCGCGCCGCGCTCGTCCCAGAGCCCGGGCGCCGGGAGCCGGCCAGGCTCGGCCCACCGGACGATGGAGCCAACAGAGCAGGATTTCCATCCTCACAGCGTGCTCCATATCAAGGTAGCCATCCAGGAAGTTGGGCCACTCATTTAGGCGATGCCGGGATAATTCCTAATGATCCTTGCGTGGAACTGCTTTTAGAATCCTCTCAGACTGTCTTGGAATGGCCTCGGGGGTGGTAGTTCCTGGTCATAATCTCGTGACGCCATTCACCAGTCCCTGTACCCAGATAGCCCCACAACTGCACAGCCAGTGGAGAAACACACGTGACTCCAACAAAAGAGAAACAGAAACGGGAAAGCAAGTTTCTGGAAAGCATGAGAAATTAAGGAGGGTCATGGAAGTTGCCACACCTGAACAAAGGACTAGAAAACTGAATTTTAAAAAAGAAAAAAAAAGACTGGAAGGAGATAAAACCAAAAATCATCACAAGGTTACATTAAAATAATAAAAATCACAGTGATTTATTTTACTTCCCACTTTTTTGTATTTTCCCGTTTTTCTTTAAAAAATTTTTAAGGCTTATTTTTGAGAGAGAGAGAGAGAGAATGAGAGCACAGGCAGAGGAGGGGCAGAGAGGAATAGAGGGAGTCACAGAATTCAAATCAGGCCCCAGGCTCCAAGCTGTCAACACAGAGCCAGAGGTGGGGCTCAAACTCATAAACCCGGAGATCATGACCTGAGCCAAAGTCGGATACTTAACGGACTGAGCCACTCAGGTGCAACTGTGTCTACCAGTTTTTCTAAAATGACTATGGCACTTTACCCACAGGTAATATTACGAAAGGATGGGGCATACCAATTACCACTTCAAGAGTGTCCAACCTTACCTTGCACCTAGCTTTCAGTGAAATTCCTGGGTTTTGTGTGCAGCTTACCTTGGCTCTGATGAAGGTGTCAAGGGGACAATCTATAAAGTTTGAGCAAGAGTAGGTTTATTCCAATAAATAGATTTCCTCCAACAAGGGCTGCTGTGAAGGCACAGGATACCTGAGATCAGAGAACAAATGACACATGATAGTGCCAGCTGGATGCTGTCTCCTTGCCAAGGAAGTTCAGTGCCATGCTGGAGTTGGCGGGGCCCAGGCTGTGTGTCGCGGACAGTATAGACACCCCTCATTTGGGCCACTGGCCTACCTAAGCTGTAAGTCACTTCTGCCACCGATACTTTAGCACCACAAGTACATTTCTAGGACTGTAAACGTGTGTCTCGTTCGATATGTGGACCAGTCAGACCACATTATGCTCCCCAAGAAGCAGTTCCCAGGCTCAGGAGGAGGTTAGCTTCTAACCGATGCAAATAACTAGTAACCCATCTTGACACTAGTCAGCTCTCCGGTTACCTTCACCACTGCTGACTGTGAAACCTTGAATAATGGATGACGTACTTCTCTGGCTCCTTAAACAGGATTCTAGACATAATTTCATCTTTTCCAGGCCTCCAGTCGTCTTCACAAGCATGGCCTCCTGTGCTGTGAAATGCTGCTCTGACTCTGGAAGGCACTGCTCTACTCCCTCTTCACAAGATGTGCCTCTGCCCACTGATCCATGATGTCCCCAAAGATGGTGGGCATGGTAATACTGCTACGAACGGTGTCCTATGGACCTTTTCGTGTACAGATGTTTTCAAGTCTCTGGAGCGTAATCCCTAGGAGTGGCACTGCTGGGTCCCCAGCTTGAGGAATGTGCAACTTTACTACAAACAGCCAGTTTTTCAGAGCGGCTGTGCCACCTTGCGCTCCCACCAGCCGTCTATGCACATCCCAGCAGCTCCATGCCCCACTCTGGCTCACCCCTGCACCACCAGCTCCCTGATCCAAGCCACCATCTCCCTCTAACATTGCAATAGCCTCCTTGCAGGCACTCCCTGCATGCATCCTCCTTTTATAAAAGTCAGATGGTGTCAGGGGCGCCTGGGTGGCTCAGTCAGTTAAGCATCCGACTTCGGCTCAGGTCATGGTCTCACGGTTCGTGGGTTCGAGCCCCGCATCGGGCTCTGTGCTGAAGTCTAGCTCAGAGCCTGGAGCCTGTTTCAGATTCTGTGTCTCCCTCTCTCTGTGACCCTCCCCCTCCCCTGCTCATGCAGTCTCTCTCTCTCTCTCAGAAATAAATAAAACATTAAAAAAAATTTTTAAAAGTCAGATAGTGTCACTGCACTCTTTAATATCCTCTGTGGTTTCCCAAGGGCTTTTCAATAGCTTACAAAGTCCCATATGAACTGCATCCCTTTTAAGCTCAAATCCTACCAATAACCCCTCATTATTCTCCCTCAACCCCAATGGCCTCTGATGCTTTCCCTGGGCCTGGCTTCATTCCCTCCACAGGGCCTGTCACAACCTGAAATATCATAGTGATCTGCTCCGCAAGGAGGACAGGGACTTGTTCTATTCCTGCTCTTGACTTGGTCCCTAAACAGTGCTTGGTACTCCTGAGCACCCAACAGGTGGAATGACGATATCAACAAGAAAATCATCAGGTGCTATTAGGTGCTGTGCAGAAGACTAAACAGGGCACTGCAAGGGACTGATGGGTGACTGATGAGCTCGGTCCCCTGATGCCTGAAAGTCAAAGAAGGGAACAGATGTGACAGGAGGAGGAGGAGCATTCTGGACACGGGAAACATCTACTGCAACCGTGCAGTCATGGGAAGGAGCCCGACGCAGCTGGTGTATAGTGTGAGGGAAGGAAGTGCGGGGGACAGCAAGGAGGCTTGAGAGCAGGCTAGGTGAGGGCATGGGATTTTACCCTAAACAATGTAGGGAGCCACTGACGTAGTTCTGCCAAATTCTTTGTGTCTCCTGTTTAGTTTTTTACAGTCAGGGTAGCTTCTCTCTGCTTCAGTCCCTCAGTTCTCATTTTCTGCTTCTATTAGGCTGTGGGCCTGCTTGCTTGCTTGCTTCCTTCCTTCCTTCCTTCCTTTCTTTTTCCTTCTTTTTTTTTTTTTTTTTTTTAGAGAAAGAGAGTGTGTGAGCAGGGAAGGGGCGGGGTGGGCTGGCAGTGGATCCAAAGCGGGCTCTGAGCTGACAGCACAGAGCCTGATGTAAGGCTAAAACTCACGAACCTTAAGATCATGGCCTGACAGATCTTAAGTCAGAGTGACAGAAGTCTGACACTCACCTGACTGAGCCACCCAGGTGCCTTAGGCATTAGCCTTTAAAATCTGTAAGCATTGTTTGTAAATTAAGAGAGTGAGGGGTGCCTGGGTGGCTCAGTAGGTTTAGCTTCTGACTTTCAATTTCAGCTCAAGTCATGATCCCAGGATCATGGGTTCAAGCCCCAGGTCAGGATTGAGATTCTCTCTACCTTTTTCCACCAGTTGTGTGCTCTCTCTCTAAAAAAAAAAAAAAAAAAAAAAATGGCAAAACAAAAACAAAACAGAGAATGTGATGCTTCTCAAAAAGGCAAGACTATAGGATCAGAAAACAGCACTGGGTCCAGACACTAGAAGGGGAGTGACACTAAGGGAAGGCAGAAAGGGTGGACTATTTCTATATCCTCATTGCAGTGGTTGTTACTGGACTGTATACGTTTGTGAAAACTCACAGAATTCCACACTAAAAGGTGAACTTCACCATATGTAAAAGTGATATCCTAATTCAAAAATAAAACCGTAAATACACAAACCGGAGAGAATGTGGCTCTTAGTAAGGAAGACAACACAAACCCTAATGAGGTTTTGGCTGAAAGTGTGTAGGAGGCTAAGCAAGCAGTCTGACCTCGGTTTCACTTTTTCCTGAGGCTTCCCCCCATTGCTTCAGGCTGCTGGGCAGCTCTTCCTCTGAAACCCCAACCCCCTTTCTTTTTTAAGTTTTTTTGGGTTTTTTTGGTTTTTTTTTTTCTTAAGGGGCAGAGAGAGAGGGAGACACAATATCTGAAGCAGGTCCAGGCTCTGAGCTGTCAGCACAGAACCTGACAAGGGGCTCAAACCCATGAACTGCGAGATCATGACCTGAGCTGAAGTCAGATGCTTAACCGACTGAGCCACCCAGGTGCCTCCCCCAGCTCCCTTTCTAAGTTCCCTTTATTGCAGCAGAAAGAGGATGGATTTTCAAAAACATCTTTAAGGAATATTGTTTGAAAATGATTCATTCTGAAACCCATTGTTGGGCTGGATTGTGTCCTCCTCAAATTCGTATGTTGAAGCTCTAACGTCCTAGTCTCTCAGAATGTGACTGTATTGGAGATAGGCTCTTTAAGAAGGTAGTTAAGGTGAAGTGAGGGCATTGGTATGCACTAATCCAATAGGGCTAGTATCCTTATGGAAAGAAATTAGGACACAGATACCCACAGAGTGAGGGCCATGTGGAAACGCAGGGAGAGGGCAGCTGTCTACAAGCCAAAGAGAGAGGTCTCAGAAGAAACCTTGATCTTAGACTTCTAGACTCTAGAATTGTGAGAGAGTTGGTTTGTGTTGTTTAAGCCACCAGGTATGCAGTAAACTAACATACCCACCTGCAGCTGTGAGTCACCTATACCCAGTCAGAGGGACCCAGGGTTCTTTCCCTTTTACTGCCTGTGTTCCTTACCACAGGAAGGAGCTTCTGGTCCTGAGGAGGTCACACCTGTCTTATCCTGCTCCAAGGTCAAGAGCAAAGCTCACCCTTTTTAAGAAAAATTCAGAGCTTTCCTCAGGCCTGAGTCCCTGAAGGCCCTCCTTGCAAGCTGTTTCTGACAGGCCTACGTGACAGCTGACTCTGGGAGAGTGGTATTGGGCCTCCCTAAATTCTCTGCTGTCACGAGTTCTTCACTTCTACTGGCAAAGACGCAGAGACGCAGGGTGCAGAGCTCACTCCTGAGAGCAGAAGCCGCACAGC